CCAGGACCATCTGTGATGAGAAATTTAAGAGTGTTCCCACGTTCTCAAGTGCTCCAAGTGTCCATGGCGACAGTACAGAACTGGGGGACGGTCAGGCCCAGCCCTCCTCTCCACCTCCCCCCCGCCCCCGCCCAGTTCCATCCTGCCCTGGCAGGAGACTCTGGGTCGTCTGCATTTCAGGACCGAAGACTGTCTTTCTAGAACTCCAACTCAAACGCCAGCCCAACGCGTGCGTGCGTGCATGCCAAAGGAGAACTCCAGGTAACCCTCACCGGTGTACGCCACCTGCAACTCTTTAAGTAATAAAAAATAACTTCTGTGTGTTCAGTTTTTGTTTTGTAAAGATGGAAACCTTGAATCATTGTTACCAGAAGACTGACCCCAGGAAAATGACGTGGCTTACCCAAACCTTCATTTGTGAAACTTCCCCTAGGGAAGTTTCAAGTTTAAATTTCCTATAAACTTCCCTATAGGGGAGCATCTCCTCCAAAAGAAGGCAAGAAATCACAGAAGAGAAAAACAAAGATGCTTGAAGCTAATCAAAAGCAAAGACCAAGATGATGTGCTTTTGGGGAAGGTGATAAAACCCCAAATTTTGGGCGAATGACAACATGTGAATATGGATCTCTGTCTCCAGGCTACAGTTCTCAGACTGACACACACAGTTTTAGAGTTGTTCTCAATGTGCTTTTTCTTTAGAATTACGTGCGGGAATCGTGACCTTGTGGGGCATGCTGCCTGCATCCAACCTTTCGATGGTTCCGGAAGGAGGGGAGAGGGGTTCTACAGAAGAGGCAAAACAATGAAACACGGAGAGCAGAGTTGGGGTGCAGAGGGTGGGCAGAGCGCGGCCACCACATGTCCGGGAAATGCTGTCCGCGTGCAGGGGGAGGCTGGTCAGTCAGAGAGGCCAAGAGATCGGCCCCACCCGGCGGCAAGAGGCCCGCCAGCTGCCGCCAGCTGCTCCCGAGAGCGCTCTCGCCTGTCTCTGCAGATGTGGGATCGGGACTCTCCAAAAATGGAAATGAAATCCAGACCCGCTTTCGGCCGGTCTCACGCATGCTGTCCTTGGGGTCTAGAGGAGGCCTGTCCATGACTGTCCCCACCTGACCCGGACTCTGAAGGGACCCCAGGCAGCCACTCTGAGGTCTTTCGCGGGGATTCCCATGAGGATCTCAGGAAGTTCTGGGGTCCCCATCGGCCAATAGGACCTTGAGTCCAATGCAAGGGACCAAGGATGCGGTGCTGCTCAGGTCCTGCAGTTCTGGGGTTACCGGGACACCAGGACAGTACCTGGCAATGCTCCGGACACCAACTGGTACTGGAAATCGAACCCTGGCTGCGCGCATGCCAGGCTTCCATCCTAACCACTGTACTAACTCCTGGCCCCTTCCACAGAGGTCTTTAAATGCACAGTTCTTTAATAAAGGTCTTTAATGCATACATTTTTACTTTTTTTTTTAGCTCAAAGATACTATTGCTGTCACACTCACGTGCCCCCTCCTTCGAAGATCCTTGGGAAAGGGTAATGGGGTCCTGGTTGGGGGGGGAGGGTTACTGCCTCTAAGATTTGCTCTCAGAACATCAGCTGTTCTATTGAACATTTGCATGACCCAGACACTGTCCTGAGTTTATCTTCACACCTGTATAGGTAGCTGTTATTAATTCCGATTTACAGAATGGGAAACTGAGGCTTGGGTAAGCCCCATCATTTTCTCAGGATCAATTTTCCGGTAAGAATCTTGGGCCTCATCCTTCCCAAATCCAGGGTGGGGGAGAGAGCACAGGGTACAAGGCGCATGCCTAGTTCCATCCCAGAAACCACATGTTCTCCTGAGCACTGCCAGGGGTCACTCTGAGCACAGAGCCAGGAATAGCCCCTGAGCACGGCAAGGTCTGGCCCCAAACCTCCCTCCAAAAACAAAACCAACAAACCAAATTCTGGCCTGGAACTTCTATTCTGGACTTGGAGAAGCAGCACTTGCCCTGGGTCAGAAAGGGCTGTGGCCAAAGGCCACTAATTAGGGATCTCAGAGGATGCTTTAGCCCTGCCAAGCCCCCATCACTCCCCCTTCGATGTGGGAGGAAATTCCCTCCCAGCCTCTGCTGCTTCCCATGAGTCCTTTTCCCTTGGACCAACTTCCCCATCCATCTGTCGGAGGGCGGGCAGGACAGGGAGGCAGCGTTGGGGGAAGGTGTAAAGTGGGGTTTGAGGGCGTTTCATTCAAAGATTAGAAGCTCTATATTTTCTTTCCCAATGCTGAGTTTGCCTTGGTGATTCTGTGCGGGAGACACAGACGCTAATGTTTGATGGTGAAGTCTTCTAGACGAGAAATGCATCAAACGGGCAGCCCCGTTTCTGGTGCTCGGAACCTACAGCAAGGGTAGAGAGGAATGCCAACTGCCAACAGAGAGAACTCCGTTCTTAACCTGTTGGAATTCCCTTTCTTAAAAGTGCGACAAATTGATTCTCTGGGTCTCTATTAAATTAGTCTGATCAAAGTTACCTTATTTCCCAAAGTCATCTAATTTCATTAGCGAGGACCAAGAACCTAAAAAGCAAGATGGTGGCAAATATTCTTCGCCAAACGTCACAGGCTGTCGTGACTAGTCACACAACGCTATGGCTCAGTGAAGGATCATGCTTTGAATGAACCTATTTTTTTCTTTTTCTTTTGGTGGCGTGGGCACCTCACTCCTGGCTCTGCACTCAGGAGTCACTCCTGAAGGGACTCTGGGGACAACTGAGCAATCTGGAGATTGCACCCACTCGGTCGTATGCAAGACAAGTGAACTGTCCAACAGTCTGGGGAAAGCAGTGCCCAGCAGGCCAGTGATCTCTCCCAGAACACCAGCACACATGGTTTTCCCTACAGCAGGCAGCCAGTGTGGCACAGACGCACACCCAGAAATAGAGCCCTAGCAGCCCACTCTCGCGGAGTACGGCAACTCTTGGAAGCAGCCGCAAGAACTGAAAATGAGTTGATGACGTTTTATTACAAAGCACTGCATGAAGGAAGGAAGATGATCAGGGTGAGCCGGGGGCCGGAGGGTGTGGCAGACTAACCCGGGATGACTCCGAGTCACACAGCTGAGGGAACCCTCATCATCTTACATGCAACACTCCACAACCTGATGTATAGGCTGTGCCCCTGTCCCCCACTCTCAACACAGCTGACAAGAGCAAGAATGGGATCCCAGGAGTCAGCCGTGAGCGGCGCCAAGTGCGCCCCGAGGCCCCCAGAAAACGGGAGAGAAAAATAAAGAGTGAGACCCGCTTGAAACTTTTCCAACGTTCCGAACACAGGGCTGCCCTCTCCCCGGAGGCCCTGCTGTCAGCAGCGCCACCGAGCAAGGGAGGACACTTCTGTTCAGCCACATAGATTTTCAGGAACTTCCCATGACTCAGGACCCAAACCTACCACCAACCACAGGCCCCTTGCTCGGGTCCCCAGGCCCGTGGCGAAAGCCTGGTTCTGGGTAAGGACCACCACTCTGTCACCGTGACACCTTCCTCACCTTTTACCTCCCATGCCCAGACGCCCACACAGAACGTGCCTGGCCTCAGGCCTGCCAGAGTCCAAGCAGGAGAGGGCTGGCAAGTTCACTGCCAGAAGGAACGGAAGTGGCCTTTGCTGGAACTGTGTGCGAGAGAGAATGGAGCTTGGCGCTCACCGGTTCTCCTCCCTCATCTCTCTGTCATTCCTGCCTAAACCGTGATGCCCGTCCCCATACAAACCATTTCCCTTCCAGGCACACTGTCGTGGCCTATTCATTCTTATCGGACATAAAATAAACAGACATGCAAGACTCGAGTTAACTTTATCCCACAGACATAGACGGAGCCTGCGAGCGGGTTGTGCCCCAGGTGATCAGGAGATGGGGGTGTAACAAATCCCCTATAAATATACTGCTTTTGTTCCTTTTCATCTGGGGGGGAAGGCAGCTACAAGTTTCATTGAGCACCAGGCCCCAGGGATTATATAAGAAGCTGCGAGGACACTCTGGGTCCAGTAATATCCGCTGGATGCGATTTCACGTTGATCTAATGCTATCGATAACTAAGAGCATTCATTAGCTGGCAGGAGGACGGCCGCTCCCTGCCAACTTGATTTTCCTGAAAATGGCCAAGACGCACCTGCACTTTCTCCATCAAAGCCCTGCGGCCCCAGGGACTTGCTTCTGGAAGTAGATGCCCCCGCAGTTCCTGGGCTGGCCCTAAGATCTCTCTCTCTCTCTTTCTCCTGCTCCTGGAGGCAGTGGGGGGTGTGGGAAGTGCCCCAGGGTGGAACCTTTGTTAGGGAAACTTTTGAAAAAGTGAAGCATTCAGAGACGTCCTGGTACATCAGAAGTGGCCGATCAAGAGTGAAGATCTAAAGAACATGGAAAGCTGAATTCCTCCCTTGGCACCGCATGGGGTGGGGGTGGGAGGGCTTACGTGCCCTTCCTTTGAAAGCCCAAGCCCGATTCCCTTGATTCCAGCGAGGTAGCTAACGCATCAAGCTTGGCCAAGGCAGCCAACAGGCGGGCGGTCCCTGATGCTTTGGGAGCTGGACGCCAGGTGGGTCCTCCTCCTCCTCCTCCTCCTCCTCCTCCTCCACCTCCTCCTCCACCTCCACCTTTTCCATCTCCTCCTCCTCCTCCTCCTCCTCCTCCTCCTCCTCCTCCTCCTCCCGCATCTGCTCCCGCCCCCTCGTCCTAGCTGGCCAGCCCCCAAACTCAGCGGGGGCCAGCGCCAAGTGACTTGCCAGGGGCCAGCACACTTGACAAGTGTCCCCACTCGCCGAGCATCGCCTTCCTCCCGAGGGGTGGGGGGTGGGGGTGGGGGGCCGGACCCAGAACAGCGTCCCGGGCGCGCGCGAGGAGCGGGGAGCGGGGAGGGGGGACCCCGCCAGAGAGAGGGCTCGCGGGTCAGGTCTTACATAAGCACGTGCCGCCCCGCGTGGGCTTGCAGGGGGCCGGCGGAGGCGCGGGGGGTCGCCGCCGCGGGCGCCACTTACTCGAAGGCGAAGAAGAGCCCGCTGGTGACGAGGATGAGCACGAGCGTCAGGTAGAAGACGCCCGTCTGCCGGGCCATCATGATGCGCCCGTTGCAGAAGAACTTGTTCCTCCCGGGGAAGACCTCCCATTTCCTCCGGGCCGCGGTCCTCTTCTTCTGGCGGGGCGACTCCATGGGGGAGGAGCTGTGCGTGCTGATCTGACTGTACTCGCAGTCCTGCAGGGGCCCGCCGCCGCTCTGAGGCATGGGCGCGCGCCGCCGGCGGGGGGCAAGCGCCCCCGCCCACAACTTTGCCCGGGGGAGCCCCCCGGGCTCACGCTCCGGGGCCGCCGGCTGTCATCGCCGGTGGGGTGGGGAGGGGGGAAGGGTCGCTCGATCGCTCGCTCGCTCGCTCGCGGTCCAGTCCCGGTGGGGCCGGCCAGGAGGAGGGTCCCCGCGCGTCCGCCACGCGCGCACGGCCGCGCCCTGGCCCCGGCGCGCCTCCAGCCGAGCCCCGAGCGCCGCGCCCCGAGGGGACACGCGGCGGCGGCGCCCCGGGAGCGCCCCGGCCGGCTCGGTTCCGAGCCTTCCTGCGCGGGGCGGCCGATCGTCCCCCGGAGAGAGCGAGCGGTGGCAACTGGGAGGCGGCTCGCGGCCCCGGCAACCCCTCCCAGGGGTGGGGACACCCGGCACGTTATTCGGTCGCGCGCGGCGGGCCGAGCGCCGCGGACACTTGTTTGCCAGCCGCTGGCGGCAGCGGGGCCGCCTCCCGCTCCCGGCCCGGTGGGCGGCGGCCCGCGCTCGCCCGCGGCCCCTCCTCCGGCCCCTCCTCCCCGCCCGGTCCCCGCGCCGAGCGCTCCCGGCCGGGCTCGGCCCCTCCTCCCCGCCGGGTCCGCGCGCCGTGCGCTCCCGGCCGGGCTCCAACCCCTCTTCCCCGCCCGGTCCCCGCGCCGAGCGCTCCCGGCCGGCCGGGCTCGGCCCCTCTTCCCGCCCGGTCCCCGCGCTGAGCGTTCCCCGCCGGGCTCCGACCCCTCCTCCCGCCCGGTCCCCGCGCCGTGCGCTCCCGGCCGGGCTCCGACCTCTCCTCCCCGCCGGGTCCCCGCGCCGTGCGCTCCCGGCCGCGCTCGGCTCGCCGCGCCTCCCCGGGCAGTTCCGGCGGCTGCTCGCAGGCCCCGGGACACGCACGCTCGCGGCCACTCCCGGCCCGTCCTGGTCACGGCGGGGGGACCGGCGGGAACCCGTGCCCTGGAGATCCGACCTCCCCGGCCTGACCCGGTCCTTCCTCCCGTCCCCGGGCCCCGGGTGCGGTGCAGGAGCTGGGGGGGTGCACACGGGAATGGACTGATGTCTGCGAGTGGGGTGCGGTGGGGTGGCCCGGCGACAGCAGGGACCGGGATGGCACGCGGCGGCTGCAGAGGGTTAGAGGGGGGATCTGGGGGGCAGGGTCCCCTCCCGAGACCCGGACCCTCGGCGGCCCCCTCCGCGCCCCGCTTTTGCACTTCTCCAGCACGGGCGCTCGCACTCTGCTCGCTTTATTCCTCTCCGAGTCCCTCCGAGCGCCCCCGCGGCCGCCAGGGGACCGTCGCCCCGGCTCTCCCGCCCCTGCCCCGGCCGGCCCGCCCGAGCGCTCGCCGTGCCCTCCACCACCCCGCAGGCTTCCTGGGCTTGGCCCCCGGGTCAGAGCCCCGCGGGGTGGGCGCCCCCCGGGAGGGCGGGGGCAGCCGGCAATCGGGCGGGGACGAGCCCGCGTTTCTTTCACGGCCCCCTGGGATATGTAGTTCTGCCTCTCGCCGTCCCACTCGGAGAGGAGTCGCTGCGCGGGGTCGTAGAAACTACAATTCCCGACATGCCTGGCGGCGAGGGCGGGCGGGGCGCGGGGCGGGGCGTTGTGGTGCGGGGCGGGGGGGTGGGGGAGATCGGAACTAACAAAGGGAAGGGTGTGGAGCGAGGTCGGCTGGGCGCCCGCAGCCCTGCACCTTGCACGCATTCCCAAAGAGGTCTCCGCGGCAAACTCCCCCGAGGCCCCGTTGGGTGCACTTTAGAGACCGTTCTGCAGTGTGGGGTTCCTCGCGGGAGAACTCAGAGCTGCGGGGAGTCGCCCGGGTGAGCAGTGTCGAAGAGAGATACTTGATCCCCGGGAGAAAAAAATAACAATTGGCATGTGCTGCCTGAAAGGCAGAGTGGTAGGGTGCACGCTTAGGCGATGACGTGGAATTATAAGGAGTTGTACGTAAAGATGGAATTGGCTAAAGTTCATTCCAAACGAGAACATTTTTGAACATTTGTTCTGATTGTAGAAAATCATACAATCAGAATAATGTAAGACCCTCTGCATCCTGTTACGGGGGACCGGTGGCTGCAACCCCTTTGAGAAACCAGCTGACAAGACACGCCCAGTAAATGACCTCCCGAGCGCTGTCCTTTGGTTCAGGAGGTGAACAGGAGGGCAATCTTGCCAATGGCAAGTGCCATTTCTCTGCCTGAGAAACTAGATAAATTTCCAAGACTCTCATTCTGTTCTCGATTCCATTTGTATTGTGCTTTTTAAGAGTTTCTCTCTGCTAGACGTCCATAGAAAGTATTCACATGCGCTTGACAGTGCTCAGCCTATCCACCACCACCACCCAAAAAACACAGAAACATGAATGGGGATTTGCTGCTACTGGGCAGTATGTCAACATTAGTTATCCATTATTGCCCAGTGACTTCAAGCGACATAGACATCAATTCTCCCACTTCCCTGATTTTGGTGGCCCTACCCCCAGGGTTCTCACTCAGGGTCACTTCTATCAGGACAGCATGACTCCATTTTTATCTGGGGACTGGACACAGGAACCCGGTCTCCAGTCCCTCCTGCTGCTAGCTTTGTGTTTTGTCTTCTGTTTTGATTTTGCAGCTTTGGGGTTGAGGACCCTGATTTTATTTCCCTTCATCTATTTACTTCCTTGGGGGCCTACCATGTGATGCTCAGGGGGCCCTATTCTTGGTGGTACTGAGCTAGGTAGACCAGTGAATTCAGTGCCAGGCGCGAGGATACATGGCCAACCCCAGATATTAGCTCCCCATCTAAAAACTACTCTGCAAGCTCTGTTCATTCATTCATTCGTTTCACGGTGATTTAGGGCACTCACTTGTGCAAAGGACTGTTTAAGCAGCAAGGGTATGCAAAAATCCAAGTAGAAATTTCTCTTACAGGGAAGGAGGACAGAGAAGGAGAGAGGAAAGCACAGACCTTACACACACAAATCATCACATGATAAAACAATGTCCCTGCAAGTTCAGGAGGAAGAAACACAAGAGAGGTTTGGGGCAAAAAAGACCCAGGACTCCAGGGAGCAGACTTTGGGGGTGCAGAGAGAATTCAGTGGTGGGAACAAGTGCAGAGGCCAAAGGCAAAGAATCCTGGGGAGGTCCTTATCCCGAGGCCACCAACCCCGTGAGTGTTGAAGGGTCAGGGAGAAAAATGTGGTGCCTGACCACGAAAAGTTTATAGGCACCCATCTGTGGTGCCAGTGGGGCTTCTAGATAGTATCTGTCTAGAATTAGAGGACAAGCAATGTTTTGTGTATGACGAAACTGAGACCCAGATCAGGAATAACCTGCTGAAAAGTGTTTTTAACTGCTTCATAGTACCCAAGGAATCCATTTCTAACCCTCAAATTAGAAAGAAGAAAATCTGATTTAATGCTCTGGAAAGCTGATGACGAATTGTTTAGTGCCTGCCATCAGCAAGTAGTTAGAAAAGGAGATGAATAAAGTATAAAGCTATAATTTTTAAGGAAATGTCTGGAGACAACAAGAGACAGTCAATAATGACATGAGCTAATGAAAATAAAACTTTCCTGCAGTACCATTCTGTCTGAGGCTCTCTCCTGAGGCAACCAGCTGATGAAATCCCAAGACAAGTGAAAAAAGAAAATTAATCTCCTCTCACAGAGGTGGAAGCACATCAGAGAAGTTAGGTGCACGCATAACCAAATCAGAATTTGAGCCTTAACCCATATATCTGGTTCCAACTTTTCCTTCTCTAGGCCATGCCCAGTGTAAAGAATTCACTGCATCAGTCCAATGGTCAACCAAGTTGGCTAGGGAAAGTATCTTGATGGCAGAGGGAAAAAGAAATCTTGACAGCCTGGCCTCGTGCTATGGAACTCAGGTGCTGTGAAGGTTTGAAGGCAGAACCAAGGAGTTAACACTTCAGGTAATGGGAGTGGGTGGAGAAAAGTAACTGTGTAGGAAAGTGGGATGATTCTAGTTGAAGGAGAGTAGGCAAGGATTTATGTGCAATGTAACCCTTCAAGAGAAGATTTCAGGAAACATCTCTACAATATAGAGGAGTTGTATAAAGACCCAGGGCTGGACAGATAGCACAGTGGGGAGGTGCTTGCCTTGCACGCAACCAACCCAGAGTCAATCCCCAGCATCCTACATGGTCCCCTGTGCCAGGAGTAATTCCTAGTGCAGAGCCAGGAGTAACCCCTAGGCATTGCTTGATATGGCCCCAAAAGGAAAATCAATGGGTAAAGAGCCTTTCCAATGTGCACAAGAACAAGTTACAGCTTCATGACTAATATCAGAAGGGATGTAAGCCAAGCAGCTGAAACTCATGGGCACACCATTCTTCAGGTTGAAAACTCTGGGGCTCACTCAGGATGGAGGCAGGCTGTGTCCACACCCCACAGATGCCACCATACAAGGGGGCCCAACTACACTGCTTCCGTATGATTCTCTGAAGAGACGCCAAGCCAACAAAACTCCCAAGTACTCAGATACTGGAGCTCCTGGAGTGTGTAGGGTAACACTGCTATGTCCCTATTGTGTGAGTTTACACAGAGTGCACAGCCAAATTCCACAATCCTGACACAACAAATTAGACAGGAAAGTAGCAGGGATCAATAAGCAAAAACAGTGACACAGAAGGTTCATCTAGCAGTAAAGAGCTCAGTAAATCTTCAGACAATGACTTTAATAACACCAATGTGAGATGCAACAATTGTCACAAACTTTCTTTTACTGAATTATTTTTTTGTAATACTACTTACCATTTTGTTGTAACAAGCAATATAAAATAAATTATTTTGTGCCTGCCTAGGGGGTCAGTCTTGGGGGATGGGTGGAAACTGGGGACAACAGTAGAAGGAAGGTCACACTGGGTGTGGGGTTGGTGTTGAAACATTGGATGCTGGAAAGGACTGTAGTGAGAAACTTTATAAACCATGCTGTTTAAATAAAAGTTGCTAAAAGGTGTTTTAAAATACAAGTTGCTACCGAGGACCATGGAAGGTTGAAGCTCTTTGAACATTTGACTTGGTGAGTAAACTCCCAAGGAGGTACCCTACCTGTAGGTCGGAAGGGGGCGGGGCAGGGAGCCTGGACTCTGTCCAC